ATCTGAATCATTCACCTCGAAACGTTTACAGTGTCGAAAGAGCGCTTTTACATTTCATGTGTTAATTTTTACATTCAATTTTCACAGCTTATTACATTAATGGACATTCCTGAATTCATTTTCTCTTGTGCTCTTTCAGAAAATTCTGATCATCTGAGGATACGCGTTTTACCAGATGATGAGATTGGATACGAAGATGGAAAGACAGAAACAGCTGGCGTTAAGGAGCACGATTCGCCAGCAAAATCGTTGCAGAATGATGAAAACGAAGATTATGAAGGTTCACTGGGAAAGATTATGGATTATTTCAATCTCTTCAACATCACTGAAGCTGTATTATTTCGGCGATTATGAGATCTTCGTACCCATACTAGAACCTTTCTATGCTTCCAGGACCGGAGTTACTGAGTGGGTCTCGTTTGTCGATAAAGTTCAAAAAAGAACGGAAGAGAGCTGAAGAACGAAAGCGTGGAATCCATACAGCAAAGGTAAAATGAATGATTTTCAACAAGGCGATCGATCTTTGTTAATGAGTTTAATCAGTGGTCAGTTAGATGTGGGAACATTTTATATTTCAAATGCTTTCAATGTTTAACAAAACAATAGTTTTTGTTACATTTACAATGTTGAGCATGTTCATTGCAGATGAATCGTATACGCAAATTGAATCGTATTTACACGTGGGGTGATAATATACCTGACCCATTTATTAATTTCACCGATATCGACGGTATTCCCAAAGAATTATTGGACAATCTCAATGAATTTGATATAAAGGAACCCAGTCCCATTCAAATGCAAGCGTTACCGATTATGCGACAAAGAAGGGAACTGTTGGCAAGTGCACCTACAGGTGAGATTCTTTGATGAGATTTTCCTGGCGTAATCTGTTTTCTCAGTCATCTCGCACTTTATAATTTATCGCTTTATGGCGTGAATGACAGTGCTCTTAAATGATCTGTGAATTTCAAGGATCTGGTAAGACTTTGGCGTTCATAATTCCAATTGCCATGGAATGTGTTCGTCTGAAACGAATGCCCAAATATCAACAAGGTGGAAAATTAATCGCACTAGTATTGGAACCAACACGTGAGCTTGCTAAACAAGTCAGCTACTAATCATTAATTACTTCCTTCAATATTTTCATTGTTTCGCCAATAATCCTTCCTTTGAACGGTTACTTGTATTTGTGTCGTTTGTGAATTCCGTGCGAAAATAGTTGTTTTTCCATAATTTTGAAAAAATAAATTGATGTTTAGAAACTGATTCAAATGTGAACAGTGATCGAGGTTGAATTGGTTCTTTTCAGACTTATATGCAGTTCATGAAATACACTCAAAAACTGCCAATTTCATGTGCGCTCATGGAGGACAATAAACTTCCATCTGGCGGTGGTTTGTTTCATTCGCATTGATGATGTTTTCCTTCGAAATTATTCCGTATGAAATTGTTTCTCATTTCTGATTTTGTCGATAGTGTTTCTGACGTGAATTAGTTTTGTTGAAATTTTTGTATTGTAGAAAATTTTNGTAAACATAGAAGATAATGTAACTTTGGAATATGCATCTTTACAGCAGATGTGATAGTATCAACACCCAATCGGATGGTTTATTTGATTGAAAATAGCGAAGGTGATTTGAAGTTATTCAAATGGTTGAGATGGTTAATAATTGATGAGAGCGATCGTTTATTTGAAACAACTGAAGGCGATTCGAAATGTTTCCGGAATCAGGTGTGTACGTTACAGATCTCGTTCAGAGTCACAATGTTTTTAAGCCAAAAAAAATTTATTTTTGAACCGCTTGTGTAGAAACATCAAGGAAAACTGATGAGATATGCAGTTGTTCTTATTGCTGTGATATAACGTCTGAGATGAAAAGTACGTTGGTGTATTCGTTGACAACTGAGCAATCAAGGCTCGCTGATTTTTGAAATATCACAAATTTCTTGTTGTACCCTATTCAGAAGATGTGATAAATCTTACAGTTATCAAAAGTTTACCAAGCGTGTGATGGTAAATTCACTCATCGAGCCTTCTTCAGTGCAACGTTCTCGTATGAGGTTGAAGACTGGTGTAAGACGAATTTGCACAATGTTGCGATGGTCTGTATCGGTGCTAGGTGGGTTGTATTTCTATTTTAAATTCTTTCAAAAATATATACATAATTTTCATTCCTAATGACATGATAATTTTCGCATTCTTAATTGCTTCATGATATCGGATTCTCCTAGTGTTCAGCTTTCTTCTGCATTCTTTATGATTTTCTCATGGAATAGTTTTTTCATCATCTGTTATTTGAGGAATTCGGCAGTTGATTCCGTCGAGCAGCAGTTGGTTTTCGCTGGATCGGAGTATGGAAAAATTATTGCAGTACGATCACTATTCCAGCAAGGCTTCGAACCTCCAGCGTTAATTTTTGTTCAGGTTTGTTTGCAGTGCTAATGGAAGTTGTCTTCGGTTAAGCAATGAGCATTTGTTTCAACCGATATGGTCATTTTTTAGATTACTTGTGAAATGATTGATTGTACTTTTCATTGTTTTGAACTCATTCTACAATAATGCTTATTTATTTATTCGTTCATTTTTTGGATTATGTTTGAATTTCTCTGCAAATGCCTTTGTTCACTGACAATGTGAGCAAACAATCTGTCAGAAACTTTGAAAGTAGGGAATGAAAAGTTGTGCGTATTACAGAGTAAGGATCGTGCGCGTCAACTGTATTCTGAGATCAATTCATTCAATCCTCCAATTCCAACTGCACTGATTTCGAGTGAGAGAAGTGAGAAGGAGGTGTGTTTAGAATGCATTAGTCATCATCTTTTCAGTAATTTCGTCTTCTCAATTAATNAAGTGAGAAGGAGGTGTGTTTAGAATGCATTAGTCATCATCTTTTCAGTAATTTCGTCTTCTCAATTAATCAAAAATGCGTATTGCTTGATGTAATCAACCAGTTCGTATTCATAGCGTGATGCTGCATTAACGAAATTCCGTGATGGTTCTATCTGGGTGTTGGTATGTACCGAACTGATTGGTCGTGGACTGGATTTGAAAGGAGTGAACTTGGTGATTAATTTCGATTTGCCAACATCGGTTGTGAATTACATTCACCGAATTGGTTAGTTCGTTGTTTCAGTTGAGAATTGTTTCATCGCATCCTATCTGCTCTTATCATGTCGAGTGCTCGCTGGATTGATCGTGAAACGCATATGAGAATTTTCGATCTATTGATTCATATGATCTTATATTGATTATTTTGACTAAGTATAACTGTTTGTATCACATTTAGTCGCCTGATTCGAAGATGTATTTTGCGGTATTTGATTGTCGTAAATTGTTGCATTCCCTCACATATTCGCCTCTGCTCAAGACATGAGTTTAATCATGAATCTTATTGATACGATCAGGTCGAACAGGACGTGCGGGTCGTCGTGGCCGTTCTATAACGTATTTTACCGAGAAAGATCTAGATGTAGTTCGACCAATAGCCACAGTTATCAGCCAAGCTGGTTTTGCGGTTCCTGAATACACATTGCGAATGAAGAAATTGAACAGGTCGGCTTTAATTCAAATTTTTGAACAGAGTTAAACTGCTATCGAACATACTTTGCAATAGGTCAAGCATTATATCATAGAGCTGGAGATGGATGTGATCGGTTGATTTGAACCGATCGGTTGATCGAAAGTCTTTTCAGGAATGACCGAAAAGATTTATTGAGACGACCGCCGAAGCGGAAGAATATTGGTGCAGTGAAGAAAAGGTTTCTGAAGAAATCCGAATCCGTATCTGAAGCGTCAAATTCGTTGAATAATTCGAGAGGTAATGGAAATTTGAAAGGAAGCATTCCACGACAGCGCAGCGATGGTGGTTCAGAAAAAGTGAAGAAACGAAAATCAGGAACGGAACCGAAGAAGACTCATCAGAAACGTTTAAAGAAAAGTGTGTAAACAATTGATTAGAAATTATGAATGATAAGTTAACTGATGTTGTTTTGATGCTACAAATGTTACAAATATTGTTATGGTTGTTGTTGTTGTTTTGTACGTTCGTTGTTATCGTTATGAATAAATAATGGATCTATTGCATCATTTAACGATGAGTGTTGTGGTTTAAATATATTGTTGTTACGTTTTCGGGAGAATTTTTCGGGGAATATTTTGCAGATATTTGGGAATATTTTTTTCGTTTCAAATTAATAATCCATACAGTGAAATGGGAATAAATATTCTGTATTTGTGGTACGCACAGTTACTTTTAATTTAGAAAATTACTTTCGAACGGAACATAAGAATTATAAGTGTAGTGCAAATGGTGTACAATATAAGTGCAGAGCTTTTGTTATTTTTTGTTTGTTTGTTGAATTGTGTTCATGTTTATTTCAATTCAGCAACACATTTAGATAGGTAGGTACTCGATTTCAAAATGCTCTTCGATACAGCCAATGTTAGGATTCCACATCATGCACCCGAGAGCCGTTTCATTAGTATAACCAGTAGTATTTAGTAATTTTTGGTAGTTGATTTTTTTAAGCACTGTTTTTGATGGTGTTTATGTTTCATTTGCTGCGGTTTCCACCCTATCTATTGCAGCCAGTCTTCTTCAGTAGGATCGAGGCAGATGTAGCTGTTTTCAAAAAATTAATATCAGACGTTCGTGAA